GATACTGATCAATAATATATATACATTATAAGGTCGGAAACGCTTCCTCCTACTAGCTCCCTTTTAACTAACGGGTAACGGGTATAAAAATCGTGGCACCAAGAAAGCCCTCTTACCATTAGTCCTTAATAGTTTGTGTTTACCTGAAAAAATAAACTTACTTTGCCGCCAACATGGGAAATTCTATTCAAAAATATTCCTCTATACAATAGAGTGCTCTCTTTCTTTTTATAGAGTATAGTTGTCTCTTTTTGTTACAACCCGTAATTCGCATGCGCAAAATTTGCCATCTAGTGGTTTATTTTTCAGTCGCTAAAAGAGGGAGTTTTCTTTTTTTATTTTTTCCTCTAGAGGGCGCTAGCTTCAGAGGTTGAGTTTGAAAGTTGTACCTAGTTTTCCATACTTTCTTAGAACAATTTCTCTATATTAGAAATTATACGAAAAAGTTTTCCTATAAACAAAAACAATAATTATAATAACGCCCTTTTAATAATTTATTATGATTAATATAGATTATATAGGAGATAATGTTTAACGTCTTGCCCTTTCATAGAAGGCAGTATTTTTTAATGGCCATGTCAATTGCGAGTGAAAGTAATAATTTTCATACCAAACACGCAGTCTGTATATTAGCATTCTGTTATAATTTTGAAGAAGGCAACTTAACTTCAGCGAACAAAACAGTATTTAATAAACTTAAATTTAATTATTGGTGTATTTTGAAGTACATATTAGTCTTCTTGCCACTCACATGACCCTGCAAGAATGTCGGATAATTCAGCATTTAACCTTTTACAGCCCCCGCAGGTGAAGGTGTAAAATGCCATCGCTCTCCATTTGCCCGAACGCAGTCTATGGCCTCGTAAATGCAACTGTGCGTTTTATATTTTGACTATAACTCAAAGTGCATTTCAACGGTGGCTCTATTTGCATCCTGCAGCCGTTTGGGTGGATCCGCTTGGGTGGAAGTGGTTGGTTGTCGGCTCGTAGAGGGGGGTTGAGTTGATGTGGGACGTTGCAGCCGTTCAAACATACATGAGTTGCATGAACTGGAGCCTAGAATGATGAAGTAGTAGGACCTGGATGCACTGCAACTGGGGGAATGCGGCCCAATCAAGGATACGGGGAGTCCTGGACACATAGTGTGTTGGTGAAGGGCGGGGCAGGTGGGGGACTGGCAGCCCAAATTAACTTAACACTCATAAATCAGCGTTAACGGCGACCGCAAAAAGCGTTGCATAAAAAATGGTTATGGCTCCGCTTTTCGAGTCTCGTTTTTTGGAGTTGTCCCTTTGACGTCTGGCCCCCTGAACATGGCAAAATGGGATCAGTGTGGCAACAATGCATCGTTGCATTCCAAATAAACAATTCTCGTAAAATGCAAGCGCTTGCATTGCCAAGTTGATGGCTGTAACTTTTTCAACTGGCATATCAGGCTGCAGCAATGTCAGTACTTTACCAATTAATTTACATATCTATTTAAAGAGGAGGGATTTAAGAAAGTAAAGATCAACCTATACATCCTGGCCTTAAAGGCCGAATTATCATGGCTTTCCCTCAACGTCTTCTTTATGTGGCCTATACCCGATATCCCTGATTCGAACCCTTAACAAAGGATTTCCCATTTGTCAGAAATGCTGGTATATTTCGGTTGTAACGGTCCGGCAATTTACTCCAGTTTGCCCAAAATGGCTGCCGTCAATTTTGGTAATTAAATTGTAGTGCTCAATTTGCCATCTTTTTAATCGACATCCAATCATCGTTCCAAAGTAATTTAGATGGATTCCAGTTAGCGTTTTTGCCCTCGAAAACGATGTGCATACTTAATTGAGTGCGGGATGTGAAAACAAAAAATACTGAAGTACAGAATGTGAGCAAAAACGGCTTAAATTGCAGTGGAATGCATAATAAATAAGAGCAGTGACAGGCGTGTAAACGCTTCCGACGGAAATGTAAATGATATCAATGCGGCAACTCGAGCTGCTAATATTTATGCACTTTTGATTCGGACCGCGGCGCACTGAAAAGAAATGCGGCTCCGCACTAAATCACAATTTGCCGCCAACTGGCGATGACAAAAGTCGGTTTGTCGCCTTTCCTTGTCCTTGGGCAAACAAACCACAGCAGAAGCGTCAGCAGCTGGGCGTCTGATTTTTAAGGACCTCTCACTTCAAGACTCGTTGCCTTTTTTGTACTTCTCCTTTGGGCAATATCGGGTGTAATTTATGCGAGCAGACGCCACCGGAAGCGGAAACGAAAGCGGAAGCCGTCTAATTATTCAGCGGCAGTTGGTTAATAGAGCGTCTTGGCCGTCTCTCCTCCATCCTCCATCCTCTTTTACTCATCCTGTTCCTACTGACTTGTTGCCGTATTTGACGTGCTCATCGACAGATCCTTTGGCCAACTGCAGCGTGACTTGGCTGCTTTTAATTATCTTAATAGAGCCATGCGGCGTATGCGCAATATTGACTGTTAGCAGTGTGCAAATGCCTGTTGTCCTCACATGCAAGGCTATAAAAGGAGCAGAAATAAGGGCAGGCGGAGCTGTCACGTTGCATCAAGCGCAAAACAATAAAACGCTCGCCAAGCCCGCCTTGCAGGTGTCGCTGCCGTGATAATGTCAACAACGGAAACAATAAAAGCCGCAGTTGTATTTCGCTTTGCTGCGGGCTCTCCACGGCAAGAAGACATCTGGAGGATGTACCTTCGCTGTGGAGAAGGAGTGTCTTCTTCAGATGAAGATAGCGGCTGACGGGGCCGGAAAGGTGGGAGTCTTTAATGTGTCGCTCTCCTTTCCCGGTTCCCTTTTCACTGAATATGATACAGAAAAAAACAATTCAGCACTACCTGTTACCGACGGTCGTTCTGATATAAATTTAAACAATATTTTGTTTTCTTTTACTTACACATTTAAAGGGTATTCATTTTACCCTCTATGTAACACCTTATCAAAAATATATTCCGATTTTTCCCACAAAGGAACAGCACTTTTCCCATAACTAAGCCAATAATGCTCCAAATATGGAATGTCATACGTCGATGAGCTTGTTTTCTAATTCTTAGTCGAACTGCATAAACAGTTAAAGATACAACTATGGCTTTCATTGTTTCCGCTGTTGACATTAGCTCGGCATTGCGCATACGCCGCTGCAGTTGGCCAAAGGATCTGTCGATAAGCACGTCAAATACGGCAACAAGTCAGTAGGAATAGGATGAGTAAAAGAGGATGGACGATGGTGGATGGTGGATGGAGGATGGAGGAGAGGCGACCAAGATGCTCTATTAACCAACTGCCGCTGAATAATTAGACAGCCTCCGCTGTCGTTTCCGCTTCCGGTGGCGTCTGCTCGCATAAATTACACCCGATATTGCCCAAAGGAGAAGAAGTACAAAAAAAGACAGCGAGTCTTGAAGTGAGAGGTCCTTAAAAATCAGACGCCCAGCTGCTGACGCTGCTCCTGTGGTTTGTTTGCCCAAGGACAAGGCAAGGCGACAAACCGACTTTTGTCATCGCCAGTTGGCGGCAAATTGTGATTTAGTGCGGCGCCGCATTTCTTTTCAGTGCGCCGCGGTCCGAATCAAAAGTGCATAAATATTAGCAGCTCGAGTTGCCGCATTGATATCATTTACATTTCCGTCGGAAGCGTTTACACGCCTGTCACTGCTCTTATTTATTATGCATTCCACTGCAATTTAAGCCGTTTTTGCTCACATTCTGTACTTCAGTAATTTTTGTTTTCACATCCCGCACTCAATTAAGTATGCACATCGTTTTCGAGGGCAAAAACGTTAACTGGAATCCATCTAAATTACTTTGGAACGATGATTGGATGTCGATTAAAAAGATGGCAAATTGAGCACTACAATTTAATTACCAAAATTGACGGCAGCAATTTTGGGCAAACTGGAGTAAATTGCCGGACCGTTACAACCGAAATATCCAGCTTTTCGGACAAATGGGAAATCCTTTGTTAAGGGTTCGAATCAGGGATATCGGGTATAGGCCACATAAAGATAACGTTGAGGGAAAGCCCTGACCTTTAAGGCCAGGATGTATAGGTTGATCTTTGCTTTCTTAAATTCCTCCTCTTTAGATAGATATGTATCTTAATTGGTAAAGTACTGACATTGCTGCAGCCTGATATGCCAGCTGAAATAAGTTACAGCCATCAACTTGGCAATGCAAACGCTTGCATTTTACGAGAATTGTTTATTTGGAATGCAACGATGCATTGTTGCCACACTGATCCCATTTTGCCATGATCAGGGGGCCAGACGTCAAAGGGACAACTCCAAAAAACGAGACTCGAAAAGCGGAGCCATAACCATTTTTTATGCAACGCTTTTTGCGGTCGCCGTTAACGCTGATTTATGAGTGTTAAGTTAATTTGGGCTGCCAGTCCCCCACCTGCCCCGCCCTTCACCAACACACTATGTGTCCAGGACTCCCCGTATCCTTGATTGGGCCGCATTCCCCCAGTTGCAGTGCATCCAGGTCCTACTACTTCATCATTCTAGGCTCCAGTTCATGCAACTCATGTATGTTTGAACGGCTGCAACGTCCCACATCAACTCAATCCCCTCTACGAGCCGACAACCAACCACTTCCACCCCAGTGGAACCTCCCAAACGGCTGCAGGATGCAAATAGAGCCACCGTTGAAATGCACTTTGAGTTATAGTCAAAATATAAAACGCACAGTTGCATTTACGAGGCCATAGACTGCGTTCGGGCAAATGGAGAGCGATGGCATTTTACACCTTCACCTTCAACTGCGGGGGCTGTAAAAGGTTAAATGCTGAATTACATTCTTGCAGGGTCATGTATTATGTATTTTTTTCTTAGGTAAACACAAGCTATTAAGCTATCAACTCCGAAATTATCTAAACATATTAGTTATCAGCAAAGTTTATGGTTATTATTCCGACAAACTCAATTTTTCGGAGTCAATCGACAATGTTCCGATAAGATTGTGTCCAGTGTAGGATAGAGCTCTGACATGAGCGGACTAACAGCGTGAAAATGCGCCTCGGTTGTGCTTGGCTGGCGGTCGGCCTGCTTTTGCACTTGAATTTTCACCTGGACTTTGGTGAGGCAGCCAATATCTTGTGTGTCTTCCCGTACCGCCTGCCCTCACCTTTTCAGATGGTAAGGCCCTTGGTGAGGGCACTAGTTAAGCGGGGACACAATGTTACGATGATCACACCAGTCGGATATCCACCGGATATCGAGGGAGTACGCCACATTCGAGTGCCAAGGTTGAATAAACATATGCAGGGTAAGTCTTTTGGAATTTTGCCTATCATTAATTTCATAAAACTCGTCTACAGACCTTCTTGATACCGACCAATTTCTGAACTTCTTTGGGGACAAATGGAAGGAGGGCATTCTGGGTGCCACGATTTTTTACAATGTTTCCTATGCCATTCTGAGCAACGATGGTGTTCAGATGATGATGCGCAACAAATCAGAAGAGTTCGATATGGTCATGTTGGAGGCCAGTCAAATGGATGCACTTTACGGATTGGCTGAGTTCTACAACGCCACCCTTGTGGGAGTTTCATGCGTGAATATCAATTGGAATGTCGATTATTTGGCGGGAAATCCCGCTCCGAGTGTATACGAGCCAGTTTCCCCCATGGGCTTCGCACTCGATTACTCACTCTTCAGCAGATGGTACAACTGGATTTATATAACTGAGGAGAAGCTCCTGGATCGCCTCGTCTTTCGACCGGCTCAGCTGCGTGTCTTCCAGAAGTTTTTCGGATATTCAGCACAAAAATTGAATGAACTAAGATCGAGGTTCTCGATAGTCCTGGTTAACAGCCACTTCAGTATGGGAAGAGTAAGAGCTAATGTACCCAATATAATTGAGGTTGGAGGTCTGCACCTCAACGAACCTCCAGAGCCATGTGGTGAGGACTTACAGCGTTTTCTGGACAAAGCGGATCATGGCGTCGTCTACTTCTCAATGGGCAGGGATATCCTTGTAAAATATTTACCAGACAACATGCAGCAACCACTCTTGCAGGCTTTTGCCCAGATAAAACAGCGGGTTATTTGGAAAAACGAACATTCCATGATGGCCAACAAATCGGATAAAATATATGTAATCGATAACGCCCCTCAACGACAAGTGTTGGCCCATCCCAATGTCCGACTGTTTATCAGCCATGGAGGCATACAGAGTGTGATGGAGGCGATCGATAGTTGAGTTCCCATGTTGGGGCTGCCATTGTTCTTCGATCAGTTTAACAATATGCATCGAGTGCAGTTAGCTGGAATGGCCGAAGTCTTGGACGCCAATGCTCTGAACGCAGAAATTCTCATCAGAACTATTAATGAGCTGATTGATAATCCTAACTATACCAGAAGGGCTAAGAAAATGTCAAAGTCTTTCAGGGATCGACCTATGACTCCTCTGGAGACTGCTCTCTGGTGGACGGAGTATGCCCTACGAAATCGAGATACTAGTCACATGCGGATCAATGTGGAGGAGATTCCTTTAATACGTTACTATAGACTTGATAGTGTGCTCACCTTTGGTGTTCGTTTCGGCTGCGTCTTTGGTTCCCTGATCTTTCTGGGCTGGAGATTGTACAAGAAATATCAAAATAGGCAGAGACGCCTTCGGGAAAGGCAAAGATTATTCTTGCAGATACAATTGCGATTGCAAGACTATGAAACAGTTTCCTAGATTCCACTAAGTACAGGTGTAATTGTAAACTAGATCTCATGTGATTTCTGATCATAGATGAAGTGAACTCTAAACTCAGGCAGACTTAATATTTTCATACACTAGTGTTATATCTTATCAAAATGATTGTTTGGCTATGCCGGTTTGACCAGGAGATATAGATTTTTATGCCCATAAAACTGTTATTTAATCGAGAAACATTATTGGCCGTTTTTGGCATCTGAACAATGACTTGCGTTTGTTTTATACTTGACATATAATGAATATAAAAGTTTGAATGTAAGAGTGAAACAACTTGACATACCTCTCCCTTTCCAATAGGCATTATATAAAAACAAAATTGGATGGCTCGCAGACTTTTATTGACCGTAAAAGTGTGAAACTTTAATGGTTATACCGATATATTAGATTAGATTGTGTACATTTGCGGCCAGAACTTCGACATGAACGGACCGAAATCGTGAGAATGCGCCTCGGATTTTCTTTGCTGGTGCTTAGCCTTTGGCTATTCCTGCATCAGGATCTTCGCCAGGACGGGGCAGAGGCAGCCAACATTCTGGGAGTATTTCCCTATCGGCATATATCGCCCTTTTTGGTGATGCAGCCATTCGTTCGGACTTTAGCCAAAAGAGGCCACAATGTGACGCTGATCACACCAAAGGGAATGCCAAACGATATCGAGGGAGTTCGCCATATCCGCGTGGCCAAGCTGAACAAACGCCTCACGGGTGAGTTGTATTTTTGTGTAAGTTTTTATTTCTGATCTAAACTTTGTTTTTTTAGAAATGATCAAGTCTAACCAAGTTTTTGAGCTTATATATAACAAGTGGAGCGAAAATTCGTTAAAAGCCGGAATGCTTTTCAATGCTTCCCATGATATATTGAGTGATCCTGGAGTACAAAGGATGCTACAAGACAGAAGCGAGAGATTCGACCTGATTATAATGGAGCCAACCAACCTAGACGCCCTCTTAGGTCTGGTCGAGTACTACAACGCCACTTTGATGGGATTTTCCAGTGGTCGCTGGAACTGGAACAGCGAAGAATTGGCTGGAAATCCGGCACCAACCGTCTACGAACCCATCTCTCCAATTGGCTACTCCTTGGACACTACGTTCCTAAGTAGAGTTCACAACTGGATCCATATCATGGAGGAGAAGTTGTTAGAGCACTTGGTTATTAGGCCTGCCCAACTACGCATATTCCAGAAGTTTTTTGGTTATTCCTCACAAAAGCTGGAAGAATTACGCACCAAATTCTCTGTTGTTCTTATCAACAGCCACTACAGTATGGGCAAAATTCGTGCCAATGTACCCAATATCATCGAGGTGGGTGGTCTGCATCTCAGCGAACCTATGGAGCCATGTACTGAGGACTTACAGAGATTTATGGATGAGGCAGAACACGGTGTCATATATTTATCAATGGGCAACGACGTTTTGGTTAGATTTCTTCCGGAAAACCTTCAGCAGCTCCTTTTAAAAACTTTTGCCAAGCTGAAGCAACGGTTTATTTGGAAGAGTGAGCTCTTGAATATGCCCAATAAATCGGAAAACATATTTGTCATTGAAAAGGCACCCCAGCGTCACATTTTAGAACATCCAAATATACGACTTTTCATCACAAACGGAGGACAGTTGAGTGTGATTGAGGCGTTGCACAGTGGAGTTCCGATACTAGGATTGCCAATGTTCTTTGACCAATTTCGTAATTTACGTTGGGGACATTTATCTGGAATGGTCGAGGTTTTGGACATTAACACTCTGAATGAAGATATTCTCACCGCAACTATTCAGGAAATGCTTGTTAGCCCAAAATATGCCCTGAGGTCCAAGGAAATGTCAAAGTTTTTCCAGGACCGACCCATGAGTCCTTTGGATACAGCCATTTGGTGGACGGAGTACGCCCTACGTAACAAGAATTTAAACCGAATGCGTCTTAATACCGAGGATATTCCACTGATTCAGTACTATAAACTAGACACCATCCTCACCTTTGTCTTTCGATTTGGTTTGGTAGCAGTATCTGTAATCTTTTTGGTCTACAGTTTATTTAAAAGGAATAGAAGAGCCAGAGGAAGAAGGTTACAGCCATCTATTACAGGTTGACTTTTGAATAAAGTGATAATATTGTTTATTTACTATATGTTTACATTAATGTCATTGCCATTGTTAAGATTTGATAACAACATTTCGGCTGACTGTTTACAAAGCAATCAGCGTTCTCTTTCAATTCCAAAATCTATGAAAGTATTTTAGTTATCAACTTGCTCGCAAATCGAACGAAAATTTTATAGATATAATAACAAACCAGATTAGATTGTGCTCATTTGTGGACAGAGCTCCGACATGGACGGAGTAAAAGCGTGAAAATGCGCCTCAGCTCCGCTTGGCTGGCAATTGGGGTGTGCCTGATTTTTCACCAAAATGTGACCCTTGACCTGGCACAGGCGGCCAACATCCTGGGAATATTTCCATATCACTACATATCCGCATTCATGGTGGTTCGACCGTTGATTCATGAGCTTGTCGAACGCGGACACAATGTGACCTTGATCACACCCGAGGGCGGGCTACCCGATATCGAGGGAGTTCGACACATACGAGTTTCGAGCCTAAATAAACGCATGCAAGGTGAGTAACTTTGAGGTTAACAACCCTTGGAGTTATCAACAAGTAATGTATACATTTTTACTACTTAGAATTTATAGAGACTGATCAAATTATGGACTTCTTGATTAGCAAGTGGATGGAGATCATTTTGGCATCCCAATTATATTTCAACATGACCCAGGGTATTCTGAGTGACGAAGCCGTTCAAAGGATGTTAAACGACAAAAGCGAGCATTTTGATCTTATAATGATCGAGGCAAGCAATTTGGATGCACTTTACGGTCTGGTGGAGTACTACAACACCACTCTGATTGGACTTTCCTGTGTAAGTGCCAATTGGTATACCGAAGAATTAGCGGGAAATCCGGCACCAAGCATCTTTGAACCCATTTCCCAAATAGGATATTCGAGGGACAACTCACTGATGAGTAGGATTTACAACTGGATGCATATTATTGAGGAGAAGTTACTGGAGCACGTGGTCGTAATACCGGATCAACTACGCGTCTTCAAAAAGTTCTTCCCCTATTCGGAGCAAAAGTTTTATGAACTGCGGAATAGGTTCTCGGTGATTTTGATAAACAATCACTTCAGTCTGGGCAGAGTGCGATCTAATGTTCCCAATCTGATCGAGGTGGGAGGTTTGCATCTCAGTGCAGCCCCCGAGCCCTGTGATAAGGATTTGCAGGCATTCATAGACGAGGCAGAGCACGGAGTCATCTATTTCTCGATGGGCCTGGATATAATGATAAAGTTCCTTCCAGAGAACATTCAGCAAACATTTATTAAGTCCTTTGCAAAGCTAAAGGAAAGGATTGTTTGGAAGAACGAGTTCTTTAATATGCCCAACAAATCGGAAAATATATATGTGATTCCAAAAGCTCCCCAGCGACATGTTCTGGCCCATTCAAAAATCCTCCTTTTCATCACAAATGGAGGATTACTGAGTGTGATGGAAGCGGTCGACAGTGCAGTTCCCATGCTGGGATTGCCAATATTCTTTGATCAATTTGGTAATCTGCGTTGGGCCCAGATATCGGGCATGGCCGAGGTCCTGGACATAAACAATCTAAGCGCTGAAAATCTTACGAAAACCATTCGAGTGCTCATTGATAATCCTAAATACAAAATGAGGGCCAATCAAATATCGCAGACCTTTAAGGATCGACCCATGAATCCTTTGGAAACGGCTGTTTGGTGGATTGAGTACGCTTTACGGAATCGGGATATATCCCACATTCGCCTCAAATTGGAGGACGTTCCATTATTCTATTATTATAGAATAGACAGCGTTCTCACTTTTGTCGTACGATTTGGTATGATTGCTGCATCGGTGATCTTCTTGTGCTCTGTTTTTTTTAGAAAATACGTGTCAGCTGGTATAAGGAATCGATTGAATTTAAACTTTTCAATAAAGTGATAAAGAATACTTATTTTATTCGGAAATTTCTTTCGGTGCAAGGGTAAACAGCTGTTAGCTTGATAAGTGTCAATGGAATTCTCTCAGAGAAACAAGTTCTCTCTTTCAATCAAAAACATTTGAGTTATCAAAACAATTATTGCTGGCAAATAAAACCTTTGATTAGATTGGATTCATTTCCAGACGGAACTCCGACATGAGCGGACTAATATCGTGACCATGCGACTCGGATTTTCATGGCTGATGGTTTTCCTGTGCCTTTTCCTGCATTCGGATTTCCATCAGGATCTGGTACAAGCAGCCGATATCCTAGGCATATTTTCCTTCCACCTCACCTCGAATTTTCTGGTCATAAGGCCGTTTGTAAAGGCTCTCGTTAAACGAGGCCACAATGTAACTTTGATTACACCAGAGGGCTTTCCGCCGGACATTGAGGGAGTTCGACATATACGCGTTGCCAAACTAAGTAAACGGTTACAGGGTGAGTCACTAAAAAATACCTTTTTGATATAAGTATCAATCGAATAAATATTTTATTCTGCAGAAATGGCTAATTCTGACCAATTTTTGGATTACTTCGGTAATAAATGGATGGAGAGTGTGCTGGCTGTCAATATGCTATATAACATGTCTCACGATATTCTGAGTAACAATGCAGTTCAAAGAATGCTAAAAGATAAAGATGAACATTTCGATATGGTGATGATGGAGCCGTCTGGCTTGGAAGCTCTTTATGGCCTGGTGGAGTACTACAATGCTACCCTATTGGGGTTCTCCGGCGGATTAATCAGCTGGAATACTGAAGAACTGGCTGGAAATCTAGCACCCAACATTTACGAACCCATTTCTCCGATTGGCTTTTCCTGGGATAACTCTTTGATGAGCAGGATTTCCAACTGGATTCATATTGCTGAAGAGAAACTGCTGGAGAACTTGGTCATTCGACCAGCTCAACTGACCCTCTTCAAGAAGTTCTTCGGCTATACGGAACAGAAGTTTTATGAGTTGCGGCGAAAGTACTCGGTTATCTTAATTAACAACCACTTTAGTATGGGAAGAGTTCGAGCCAATGTTCCTAATATCATCGAGGTGGGAGGTCTCCATCTCAGCGAACCTCCTGAACCCTGTGGTGAGGATCTTCAGAGGTTTATGGACGAGGCGGAGCACGGAGTCATATACTTCTCGATGGGCTTGGATATCATGGTGCAATTTCTGCCTGAAAACATGCAACTGCCACTGATGCAATCGTTTGCCCAACTAAAACAGCGGATTGTTTGGAAGAACGAGTTCTTCAACATGCCAAACAAATCAGAAAACGTATATGCTATCGAAAAAGCCCCACAGCGGAAAGTGCTGGAACATCCCAACATTAGGCTTTTTATCACAAATGGCGGTCTTTTGAGTGTGATGGAGGCGGTTGACAGTGGAGTACCAATGCTGGGATTACCCTTATTCTTTGACCAGTTTGTCAATATGAAATATGCTAAGCAAGGTGGCATTGCCCAGGTCTTGGATTCCAAAACATTGAATGCTGATGTTCTGACCACAACCATTCGAGAACTGCTCGAAAATCCCAAATATTCTCAAAATGCTAAAAAAATGTCGCAATCCTTTAAGGATCGACCCATGAGTCCCTTGGATACGGCAGTTTGGTGGACTGAGTACACACTACGAAATCCAGATGCCTCACACATTCGACTCAATGTGGAGGAAATTTCCCCTATGCGTTACTACAGATTGGATTGGTTGCTTCCATATGGTGTTCGTTTTGGAATCGTTATTGGATCTTTTATATATCTAATCAGAATAATTTTCCAGAAAAAGAGAGAAACCCAGCGAAATCGCCACGAAGAACAGAGGGTTTCTTTGGAGTTAAGTTTGCTTGAATCATAATGATGTTACTAACCGTAATGTTAATATAACATGTTATGCCCTCGCGATCTCTGTTAAATACATGCCTGTTAAATTATTCGCTTAATCTCAAAAGTATGCTTTAAAAAGTATTCATTGACTTGGGCTTCGTGGCATAAGCTTAGTCGGTTTTAAAAACTGCTTGGCTGCAATTTTGTATCTTATCTAAAGAGGTATTTGCAATGTAGGTTATTTAAATTGTTTAGAATGACTTAACAAGCTGGCATATAAATTTTAACAAGTAAAATTCTTTCTTAAAATGGGTAATAAGAAATAATAAAAGATAACGTGTCGTTAGTATGCTCATTATGCTACTTTCAAAATTTTCAGAGCAGTATTAAATTTATAATAAATTAACCAAAAGCTGAAAATGATATTTATTTCATTTAATCATTTTATGTAATGACGCATTTCCAAACTAAGGAACTTACTGACGTCAGCACCGCGAGAACCTGCAGCTGTCCTTGATCTGTGGCTTCCTCAGAAAATGCACATCAGGTTCTGCCTTTCACTTACTGTAAATCTCATCCCATCTTAGGTTCAATGATAGGCTTCCTGATCTGGTTTACAAAATATAAACTTAAACTTCTTAATGGTGTAACTTTCGTATGTTATGGTAATTGACGCTTTGACAAATATTTGGGCCAAACAATAACGACAAATGGTGACACACTTTTTGGCCAGAACAACAGGCAGAATGCACAAAATATGAATTCATCAACACAGAAGTGTGTTGTTATTATTGTGGCTGATTTCGTTGTGTTTTTAATTTTTTCCATTTCGAGGTTTATTTGCACAGTGCGGCGGCATTCTTTTGTTTACGATCTGCGCTTGGCTAAATATTAAATCCGGCTAAAAGGCACCGGAGTGAGAACAATCGGCATCGAGGTCACCAGCCTCCAAGAACGATTAATTAATGGTACTAGTCGTACTGCAGCTGAAGATTTCCCGCTTAATTGCTTCGCTAATATTGTAACTAACTGTCTTTATGACGATCGACTTGGGCAATCGCTTTGTTACTTAGTCTAGCTAGCTTCGTGAAAAGTTCATTTCCATCCGGCGTCTGGCATTAATTGTTAACTTAAAATTACGGTCGCCTTTACAGTTGTCGTTTCATTGCCAATGGCCGGCCAGCTTGTTTTCCACATCCAAATCGCATTGCCTTGGCTTATTGTGCCACAGATTATTAGTTGCATCCTTGATCTCAAACGGTAAACGAACGAGACCGTTCATCTCTAAACCCAGTGTCAACTACTTTTCCGCGAGGGTCATAAACGAGTTCATTTTCACGTGCCCATACCTGTGGCCACTGACAAATGAGTTCCAAGTTCCAGATGTTGGTCGTCTATTTAAGAAATAAAGACCAAAAAAGGGGGACTGGCTGGCAAAAAGAATACGATTATTTTGGGCAGGCCACCAATTGCCAAAATTGAAATAGAAATATAATTTTGCATAATTATGCGTGAGCCGGCGTGACAGCAGTCCCGAAATGAGTACGGCCATAATTTAAGACCACAGAAACCCAGCTATTCAAAAAAAAAAAAAAATAAATAAAAAAACACAACTGTTAATCTGCTGTCCATCGTCTGGCTGAAAGTGAGTATAGAAAACCAGCCGAGGGAATACCCTTTCGGTCATTAGTATTCTTAAAATAATTATTAGTAAAAAGCCATAAATCATTAAGGGAATATTTCCTGAAAATAATTATTAACGGCCTTTGATTGTAACCTTAAATATTAGATATGAGTTTATTCATATAAACAAGATAAAAGTTGGAGATAACTCAGATTTTTTTAATGGCATAATACCTTATTTTTTCCATTAAAAGTTTGCCTTAAAGAAAAATAATTTTAAGGTCCAATAACATAAAAGTTTTCCTTAATTAGTCAACAGAAGGTCTTCTAACTATCAACCCAAGAAAACATTCAGCCATCAAGGTGAGTCCAGAATTTTTGTGCTAATACTTAAGCTAACACCAAAATTCAACTCATGCCGTAAAGCCATTTTTAAAGATCAAACCAACTGTTAGCCATGTTTTGCATGCCGCAGCGGGTTAAGGTATAAGCCGGAGCAATTTGACGCTTAAGCGCACCGCTGCACAGTCGCAGCCTCAGTTTGTCGGCGACTGTCGAACGTGGAGCACGAAATATTCCGGTACGCGAAGAGTTTCTTTACATAAAGCCAACAAAATAATCGTAAGAAGTCGGAATCGAATTGAGTTGAATCGAAGTGGTGGGCCAAAGACTCGGGCCACAAACTTGAACTTGCCCAACCAGCATACGAAGCCAATTACTCGGTGCAGCGAAAAGTGTGTTACAAGTGCCCGAAAGTGTTCAAAAGTAATTCCCAGAATTAATCAAAGAAATGAAAAACGTTATAAGGCTGATTGATGTCTATGAGGTTGACATATTTAACTGTCGAAAACTGTTGAAAATTGCGCACTGCAGTTGCCGTCTTGTTGAGTCATTGAGCAGGGTTCAAGAAAAATATGTGTGTCAAATATTTGTCTGTTTGCTGGTGAAATATTTGCACAGCCCAGCTTTTTGTTAATGAAACTTCGGGCAGGTGTCAGCCAAAGCATAAGCAGATGATGCCTTTCGAATATGCCTGGCGAATTTGAAAATAGTTTTGAATTAGTTCCGTTTTTGCTCCGGCCCCGGCTACTTATATAATGGGTCAAGCGAAATTTTACTGTTAAACGGCGCACGCCAAAAACCACTGACCATCATCTTTTCTTTTGGCCAACTCTCGCTTTCTCACACCTCTCCCACTCTCTCAGTGTCTCCACTACGGCATTTATCTCTTCATTTCTCTCAGCTATTTGGCTTAATTTTTTCATGTTATTTTCTCACTCAATATTTACCTTTTTTGTTTTGCTCGCCGCTTACGTAAGGCATCGCAAGCCCGTCTGGCCGGCTCCAGGCCCAGTCTGCAACGGCACCTCAATCTCGGCCTGAATCCCGATCCCAGTTGCATTTCCAGCTCCAGCTCCAGCTCCCGATCAGCTGCTCCCACTGAGTTTTCCCGACCCGTTTAACTGCGAGCCCTCTCATGCCAACACTCTCTCTCTCTCTCTTTTTCTTACCAGCTCTTCAATTGGCCTGGCCATTACAAAATAGCCACATTCTGCTATTGGAATAGTTGGTTTCGGCCCAACCGTTACAAATTTGTATGCAGCATTGCGCAAATTCCAAGTCCAATTTGCATATAAATAATTTCTTGTAATCATAAATCGCATATTTTCCTACCCTGGATTTATGGCCCAGAGAAAAGCCCACAGCTGATCGGCCATTTCCTCTCTCTGTGTTTCCATTTATGATTTTTCTCCGCATGTGCAGCTGGTTGGACAACTTTCAAGGAAAGTGCAAGTGTTGCCATGGCATTGTCGCAACTACAAATGGATCAGAGAGCTCCAAGAGAGAGAGAGAAAAATACAAAAATAAAAACAGGCCAACAGCAATGTCGTGGCTTTATTCGTAAAAGAAGGAAGTGAGTCTGGGTTAGTGGTTAACTGGGGGCGTGTTGATTGGTAACACATTCGTGTGTTATGGCCCAGTTAAACGAAACTGTTAAGGAAGCGGAACTATAATTAACACCCCTACAAGTTTGGCAAAAAATGTTTCAATTTTTGGTTAATTAACAGATTTATGGTGACTACGACCGAAAAAAAAAGTTCGTTAGCTTCTTCTGAGACCTTCTCGCCCTGGTTTCCGGTCTTGCCATTCAATTAGCCCATTGTCATTGATGTGTTTATTATGTAGGTAAAATATTAAACAAATTCATAAATTTATACACGCCATAATTTGAAATATACTTAAAGCTGTATGAATTCCAAATTAATCATACGCCCTGTGAGCATGCAAAATATTAAGTGACCTCCCTTAAGGAAAAAAACAAACACACACACACACACGGCAATAAAAACAACAGGGGCAAAACAAAATTGAATAATGTCTGTATTAGCTCAAGACAAGCACTGTGAACAAATTCGAAAATAATCGCAAGCAATTTAAATCGAGACCACCGCCGAGTGGCGGTGTAAAATGAAAAACTGAGCCAAGTCAGTTGAGTGGAGTCAAGCGCAAGAGCGCAAGTCGAAAATATCCAAACCCGAGCTGTTGACATTCGCGTCTTTGTCTTGGCCCTGACCAAGAAGTTGGCTCAGAAGCGTTGCGCACTTCGATTCGATATTCGGTTCGTTTTCGGTATTTCAGCTATTGACGTTTGGTTTGGCAAACAGACATCTGGCCATAACATGGGCCATTGACTAATGCATTATTCCGATTCCGATTTGTTTAGCCAGTCGAAAAACAAACACGCAAGATGACAACCACTGGACTTCGACCACTTCTTAGCCTCCTGCTGCTGGGACTGGGTCTGATACTCTTCTGCGATGTCACCTCCTCGATTGCCATTGCTCCGTCCACATTTGGCACGGCGATAGCACGTGCTGGGAAGATCTCCAACCAGCTTAAGGTGAGTTCAAGAACCCGTCTTCCCTAAAAAATATATTATATATGTATACCTTAGAATAGCTCGTATAAATTAAGCCAAGACAAAAGAAGCTTTACAAAGCGTGCCACTTTTGACCATTTCGGCTGACTCGGCCACTTTGTGTGACTTTGACATCGTGTCGCAAATTTGTTGTTAGCCCCAAAAGTAATTCAACACCTGAGAAGACGTTGTTTTATGGCCAAGTTGTGTGCGGCTGCCGGTCACTGCATTTACATGTGGCTGTTAATGGACTTTATGGCTCACCAAACAGCAAATAAGACTGGTCAATTGCAAATGCCGAGTGCTGAACGCTGAATGCCGAGCGGTTCTATTGTTTTATGGAGGCAAGTGAAGCGCGTGAAAAATACTGTTTGGCACCTGCTAATTAGACAGCCAGTGGCCCAAAACATGTACTGGCAATGGCAGGGGAGATCGAGTGGGGAATATAAATAACAGTTGGCCTTCTGTCAGGCCCAACTGAATGCGAATCTCTCCGGCAATGCAACCAATTCATAACTGAATGCAATGCATGACATTTAATAAATATATGCAGCTACTTGGCAAGCTTGTAGTTTACTCAGCTTTGGGTGCAGCGGAATGCCCTTTTTATAGCAAAAATTAAAACAATGAAAACTTAATTATTTATCAATTTATGCCCATCATGAGGCCATAACCGATTAAATATGGCAATTAAACAATAGAAACATTTCCGTTTGCCGGTCGGATAACATTGACTGATAAAAGGCCAACATCAGCGAACAAGCCGGTCTAAGCCAACTACCACAGAATGCACGAACGAACAATGGCCAAAAATGTCTACACTGAGCCATTGCGTGCCTTACATAATCCGGCCATAAAACACAATGATTACAAGCACTAAAAACTAAGCAAAACAAACCAAAAAAATGTATTTAAAACACCAAACAGCCGACGGACAGACAGTAACAAGTGCAACTCTAACAAGATGGCAAAAATTAACTGAGATTAGTGAGTCGACTGGGGAGTACCTAGGTCTTAGTTCATATGCTTAGAACAAGTCACTTAATGTTAATTCTACTTTATAGTTTATTAAATTCATAAGTTAAACAAAGGTGCTAAAGGGAGCAAATCCAACCATTGGACCATTTCCAAGATGAAAAGTTTGTCAGCATGACTTAAATCTGCCAGGTATACCCGAATTTTCCTAAGCCACACAGTACTTTAATGACTGCCAAGCCAAAAGCAAAAAATCGAGGAAAATCGAGGAACAAGTGGAATTTAATTCAAAAGCCTTCAGACAGTCGAAAGCGCAACAGCTGCTGGCGGAAGAGCAAAAGTGTTGAATCCCGGGTGCTCAGACTTTTTGCGGTGACTGTTCGTTCGGCGGTGTCACTCCTCCAGTGCGCGAGTTCAATAAATCAAAGTTTACGGCTCCGCGTTCCATTGCATTTGTCGGATTGTCGGAACAACTGCAGCGAATTTGTGCGGCTGTCAAACGGTTGCATAAAACAAAAGCGGTGTCCACTCTGCTTACCCTCTACCCCGAAGATTGTCGTCATGCCCTGTCCCCGGAATTTAACCCATGGTGCAGCGATCGCGGCTCTTTTACTGGCCACCGGTCTAATTGTCTTGGCAATTTGTGTGCAACGACCGAACGAATCCGGCCATCGAATCATAGTCACAGAGCAGAGAAAGTCATCCGTGCAGATGGAGGAGAATGAGGAGGTGGTAGTGGGTTCGGGTACGGCTACCAATTCGCATGGCGGTGATTTGCAAGATTTGCGAGCTAAAGCCCAAGCGTTTTTTTTAATCGCCACCACAACAATGTCGCCGGAAAATGCAACAAAAAGCGAAAACTCTTCCGGGTCACTGGACATGCGCCAAATGGCCCAAATGGCCAGTTCTACCACGGTTCGTATTGAGTATATATGGTATATGATTCTTATGCAACAATTGCATTGCTGCTGGCTTTCTACATGCATTTTCTGTTTATTATTTCGCTTTTATTTTTGGCTGTCGAGCGTGGCAGCGTGAAAGCGCCCATTGCATAATGGTTTTTTGCATTGTAAGAGGCGAAAATATTATGCGAGATTCGCAATGCAACCAGAGATGTGTTGTTATAGCCCTGTTTTGCCGGCTCTCACTCATTTGCATATTAGAGCAGCTACAAAGCCAAATCGCAGCTTAAGATCGATTGGCAGACTTTAATTATTTTCCCAGCACTCTTAAACTTTATGCGTTGAACAATGACCCACTTCTTAAGCGCCTTTTAAGCCGAAGTTTGTTTTGTTATCGAAAAAAAGACACACACACGCACACTCACGCACAGCCAGGCCAACAAGCGCATTAAACAGTTATAATTAAAACCAACATCGATCGGCTCTTGATAGGAAACTGTTATAAAACCAGCTACACCCACATTAGCATACTCCACAGACCACACACAAAAAGTAAAAAATATAAATAAAATCAACAAGACGAAGTCTGAATGCCTTTCAATCAAGTGAACTCGATTCCAAGTTGCAGGTCTTACCATCCATCGAACATTCTCCATGTTAGGGTATACGGAACACACGTAATTAGCATAAAAAAACTGGTAAAGGTGAACTTGAATCTCGGTGCTCCACAGCCACCAATCTGACGTCTAATTGTGTCATGAATCACAGCCGAAATTAAGCCCATTTTAGTCTGGGACACACGCCCATTCCGGCCTGGGAACAGCCGACTGGTCGCGATTGGCGTTTCCTCTGGCAGCACGTGACGGTGTCTCTCTTATTGTTGGTGTTGCTAATGCCACTGGTTAATTGCCGCAAACCGAGCATTTGAGTTATGCAAATGGCATTTCAATTAAGCGACGCAGTCGGTGAAGGTTGCCCGTTGGCAGTTAACGCCGCTTTACAAATCGGACAGCCCCAAAAATAAAATTGTCATCGAGCCCGATGAACTTGGACTGCGCCTGAGCCTTTTGCACAAGGCGCTTCTGCATGTTTTGTAAATTGCTGTTAAATGCATGGCAAAAAAAAGATCATTACAAGCTCTATTTGTTCAGATTTAATTTGATCGTTAAATTTTAATTTTAACAAGTTCAAAACATGTTTCAAATTGGCTTTAATTTGACAGTACTGCCGTAAAAACCTCAAAAATAAAACAGATTTTTATTTTTTGATGATATGTTATAGTATGCAGATCTATAAGTGTATAAAAAATAAGCAATACTTCGCACGTTTTCTCTCTGTGTGTACTAAAACTCTTTGGAATTTTGTAAATTTCAGGAGACGACTGCCTGGAAGACCTTGACATCGCATCCGAATTCACTTGTCCAACTGCTGCCATCGAGGGCCATGCGAGTGGTCCAGGAGGTGGTGCGATCTCTGCGGGTGAGTAACTGCCACGGCCTTGAACCATGGCCACTGAAAATGCCAAGAGTTTACAGCCTCTTTTGGGTAGCCAAATGGACAAGTGGTGGCCAATCAAATCTCAACTTGAACATGGACAGCTGGCCAAACATGGATGCAGGTGCATTTTTGGGGCTGAGGTCGACTCAATAGCAAAGAAAGATCTGACATTTACAGACACACCCCCCTAGATGGCCTAGTGAGTCAAGAACTTGACAAATGAACGGAGGCGAGAACTGGCTTTTTGGCCATTGACCGAGGGAGTTGCGCAACTTTGGCCAGGTACATGGCATACTTCTCTGCGCCGGTTCTATTCGAGTTCGCACTCCAATGTAAATTGGTTGTTGCGCAACTCAGATTTTTTGCATTCGCAAGTAGCAGCCAAATTTGCTAGGCCTTGAAGTGGATTTCTTCGAACAATATGTACTCTTACAATTTAGCTTATCAGATGTACTATATATAGACTAACAATGTTTGCTATAATCATTCACAGAAAGAGCGCGAGATTGTGGCTACTACTTCGTTGGGAAAAGTAAGGGGACGCTATCAGAAATACCGATCTGGAGAGAGAGGTGGCTACTACAGTTTCAAGGGAATGCGCTATGGAGCGGCGCCCACAGGAGCAAAGAGGTAAAAAGATCAATAAAGAATTGTATAAATTGGATACTAAGTATATCTTATGTCCAGATTCCGTGCTGCCGAACCGGAGAAGCCCTGGTCAGGCATCCGAGATGCCTCGCGGGAGGGTCAGAGTTGCCCCCACAAGAACATGATCCTGGACACATTCAAGGGAGACGAGGATTGCCTGTTTATCAATGTTTTCACCACACGAATGCCCAAGGAAGAGGAGACCGCGGAGCAGCCTAAGCTTCCAGTAATGGTTTGGCTGCATGGCGGAGGTTTCTCTTTCGGTTCTGGAAACTCCTTTCTCTACGGACCCGACTATCTAGTAGCTGAGGATATTGTCCTGGTCACTCTGAACTATCGTTTGGGACCACTTGGTTTCCTTACAGCTGGTCCCGATGCTCCTGGTAATCAAGGTCTCAAGGATCAGGTGCTGGCCCTGAAGTGGGTGAGGGATAATATTGCTGCTTTTGGTGGAGATCCAAACCAAGTTACAGTCTTCGGAGAGTCAGCGGGAGCATCATCCGTCCAGCTGCTTCTACTTTCACCCCAAGCCAAGGGACTTTTCCAAAGAGCAATTTCCCAAAGTGGTTCCGCCCTGAATCCCTGGTCCATGGCAGCCAGTTCCAGTCAGAGAGCTGCCCGTTTGGCAGCCAATCTGGGTTATGTGGGCGCCAACAACACCGAGGACATTCTTGACTTCCTGCGCAGAGTTCCAGCCATGAAATTGGTAGAGGCAGCTCCCACCACAATAACTGCTGAGGATCAGCGGAACAACATTGGATTGCCATTTGTGCCCGTGGTGGAAGGATACTGGAATCAGGATTCTCAGGAGGAGGAATTCTACGAGCAGCCATTCCTAACTCAGCATCCTAGTGATATGTACCACTCGCAGAACTTCAACAGTGATGTGGCCTACATGACGGGCTATAATACACACGAGGCGATGTTGTTTATAAGAAGTAAGATCTTTACATATAATAACTATAGGGAAACGTTAATTTTAATCATTTTGAATAGGACTGCGGAAGAACCCACAATTGCTGAGCATCATTGAAAACGACTTTGGTCGCCTGGTGCCGCAGGACTTGAACGTGACACAATCTCATGACAGAGTGACCCGCGAGATAAGATCCTTCTATCTGGGCAACAAACACGTTGGCATTGAATCGGTGGATGAGATGATTGCTGTGAGTTTGCATTGCAGTACATCAATATAAAAATATATATTTATTGGGCATTTCTTTTTCACAGCTCCTCACTGATCTAATGTTCCTACAAGGCATTCGTCGCACAGCCCGGAATCATGCCAAGTTTGGAAATGCTCCGGTTTACATGTATCGCTTCTCCTTCGACGGAGCTTTGGGGCTCTACAAAAGAATGCTGGGAATTCCACGACCAGGAGTATGTCATGGTGATGAGCTTGGATATCTTTTCAAGTTTGGTTTCTTCAACTTGAGTCTGGACCCCAAATCGATGGAGGTGCAGGTCAAGAATCGCATGGTGCGAATGTGGACGAATTTCGCGAAATACGGGTATGTTAATGACCGCTCAATAATCTCTTCATTAGATATAACTATCATAAATTTTAGCACTCCTACGCCGGATACCGAAGATCCCTATCTGACCACCAAGTGGGCGCCTATCGATCCCACCAATGTGATGAACAGCCTCAACTATATGGACATCTCGGCTAATTTGGCAATGAAAACGAATCCCGAACCGGAGCGCCAGAGATTCTGGGATGAGATGTATCAGCATTACAATGGAGCTGCCATGTAAAAAGGCATTAACTTACTCCACACATAACACACACTCACCCTCACACACACACCCACACCCACAAATTTCGTATTGCCATTTTGTGAAAGATCGCGCGAAACCCAGAATATTTAAATGCAAATATCATTGTACAATTTTCGTAGTTTGTAGGACTTGTTTAGCTATATTCTTAGCTATATTGTTAGCAACTAGTTTGTAAGAGTTCCAGCATTTATCCACACCAACCACAATTCACTCTCATAATCCAAAGTCAAGATGTCTTTCCTTACTACACGTGTATCCACAATAACCAGGTGTAAATAGTCAGAGTCTATCTTATGCATAATGCCGACATCCAAACCACGATGTTTTTGTAAATTAAAAATATTTAATTTTTAACTTGTTTGTTTTTTCTTTAAAAACTATCATTTGGGGCAAGCAACAAACCATAACATGTGTTTTCACGTTAACTTATGCGATTCCATGTTTTATCTACATAGAGGTCAATTTACATGGCTGAGTATTTACATACAAATGCTAAACATGGTTCTTGTCTGTGCTAAGCAGTTTACCAAATGTCCGTATGTAGTAGGCTTAGTATAGACTCAATCCATATATTTTAGATCGCATGGAAAATTCAACTTTTTTTCATAATAATAATATAATAACATGGTAAAAATCTGTTAGTCTCAACAAAATATTCAAATATAAGTGATCTGAGACAGACTAGAGTAGCTAGGGCAAATGTGAACCAGTTTATAATCTCATCATTTTAGCAATAAATATATAAATCTCTCAGCAGGGAGTTAATTGAGAAAGTCAACCGAATCGATTTGTTGGCGATTACAGAAATAGCCGTTGCGTGAATTCCAGCAACTAAACAAATTACACTTCAGGATTCTAAAGTGTCACTATGATGGACTACAAATTTGCACTTGGCGCGAGTTAAGTGGCCCCCAACGGACTATCAAGGGGGCACAGGCTACCAGTTCATCCAAGTATCGGTGATGGTAGTGGCACACACACTGGGCGACAAAGCTGATTATTCAATTATACCAGCGGCTTTGGCGCTCTTCATCCGCGTCGGGTCGCTGCCATTCACAATTTAGTGGATCGTAAATTATTCTCTGGGGCAGGGAATGACGGAAGAGCATTGAACGAAAAATCCCATAGGTCTACCGCATGGAAACCCAGTTAGCCAAGCAATCAAATTCTTAAACTAAAAAGACAGCTAGCTAGCAATATCATATCACATTAGGAATTCCCAAGAAACGTAGAATATTTTTTTAAAATTTTTTAACTCTTTAATTTTCTAATCATTTTCTTCGCGATTTCTTTTTGGGGTCCTAATGACAGATAAGGTCAAGTTATTCTACCCCCAGCGACTGCAGCCCCGCCCTCTGAAGGCTTTGCGGGTGTGCTTCCTGCGAAATGGAGACCAACACTTCTCGGGCGTCAATATGGTCGTCTCACGAAACCGCTTCAAGGATTTTGAGGCTCTGCTTCAAGGTGTCACGGAGAGTTTAAGGCGCCACGTTGTCCTACGGTCGGCCATTACAAATATCTGCCGGATTGACGGTTCACATTTAACCACACTGGGTTGCCTTAGCGAGGGCGACGTTGTGATCTGCTGCTGTCAGTACGAAGATTTTATTTGGATCGAATACAACGTTAACATTGACTTTGAGCGGCAGACCGCTCTTCGTGCGCGTTGTTTTGAAGAGAAGTTATACGAAGAATCCCTGGAGCACATCAAGTTTACCGATTTGCCCGATGCCATTAGGCTTTACATCGGGCAGCTGAAACCCATTGTCCAAAACTTTAAGACACTGATCTACCGCGGAAGGTCGAGGGCCAATTGGACAAGGTGCATCGTAAAGATGGTGAACAAGAAGTACTTGAACATTACCTACGATGATGTCTATATAGAAGCAGAGGTGCTGCGGCGTTTGCAGTCGCACCCGAACATTATCGATCTGATGTACTCCGTGGAGGAGGAACGCTACATGTATATAGTTCTGGAGCGTCTGGACTGTGATGTAGGAGAATTGTTGTGCGAACACGGTTCCATGTCGGAGGAGAATGCCAGATGGGTGATGAGGGGAACGGTGGCTGGCCTATTGCATATGCATCAGATGCAAATTATCCATCGGGACATCAAGCCCGAGAATCTTCTTATTCGGTTTGGTACCCGTGTAGGGGATCTTGCAGCGATCAAGATAACTGACTTCGGCTTGGCCACGTACTATCGTGGTAGCAAGCTGTACTCCTGCTGTGGAACTCCGTGCTACATGGCACCCGAGTTGATCGCAAAATCTGGCTATGATTACCAGGCCGACTCCTGGTCTCTGGGCGTTACGCTATTCTGCATGCTCTGCGGCCAGCTGCCCTTTGGGAGAAATTTTTCAAGTGTGGTGGATATTTATGCAGCAATCATGTGGGGAGAGCCATGCTATCCGAAGGATATGGATGGTGACCTAAGCGATAAGGCCACACAGTTAATAGACGGTCTGTTGATCAAGAATCCCAGCAAGAGGCTCACCATCGCCGAAGTCAAGCGTCATCCGTTTTTGGTCTAATAGTTTTTTTTATGTTATTTCAAAAATTTTCGGTGTATTAACAATGGTTTAGGTTTTAAAATAAATTAGCTTACGATCTGGTTAGGCACATTACAAAGGCCCTAAGATTTATGGCGGCGGTGAACGGCTTTAATTGGCCTGATGCCATGAAAATTAACTACGCATGACTTTACCGATGACTGAGCAGTGATATTTGTTTGGATACATCTCGGTTATTAACGTCACAATATATTTATTATCTTTGTTTGCACAATGCAGCCGAAATGCGCGTGAGTCCCGGGGTAAACATTCAGATATTACGTATACGACACCTTGTACTCGAATTGAAGTCAAGATACAAACGACGGCCATTGTTTGCTCCGACTATTTAAATAGGGAGAGACCTAGTGACAGACGTCGTATATCTGATAAATCAGAACTGGCCGAGGGGGCTAACCTATCGATATTGCGACACTTCATGAGGGGCATACAAAATATCAAGCATACGCCACCCCTTCCTCCCAAGTCCCAGGTCTCAAGGTCGCCTGCATTGAGAAGTGTCTCTGCCTTCTGATTTCGTTGATAAGATGAGCTTATCGCACTTATCTTCCGCTTCGCTTTCAATTTACGAATCATTCCAATTGAACTTATACCGCGGCAAAGCCGCAACTTGTATCTTTCGGTAATAGTATCTGTGAGAGCATCGTTGATTTGCACTGTGTAATTTTCTCTCTTCCTGATATAGTATGTGTGTGTTTCTGTGTGCGTTCATTTACAGCTCAACGCTTTCTGTTCACAACTTTTGTTTAGTTGGAAAAATATTCTTTCAGTCGGCCGTCATTTAATCCATTGGTCGGACTTGCGGATCCGTAGATCTCGCTGTGACAGTCGCTTTCTGGCTGCGGCTTCTGTGGCACAGCGCGGAGTGCCCTCTGATCTCTCGGCCTCAGATCACCTCGTTCCCCAAACGACACGCGTCGAAAAAACACTCATATTTATTGGACTTTCGCGTTAAGCCACCTTAAATATATGATCAGCATTTAGCAAAATAATGGCTCTTTAACAAGAAAACGCTTTATAAGTGTCAATTAATTGAACATTTCGCAGGTGCTAAAACTACTTAAGCCAAACGTGCAGATCCCTCGAAAATCTATTAAAAACTAAACGGTGCGTGAACTGATTTTCCAATCTCATCTTGTGAAAAGTACAGAAAGGTGTGAAAACTCAAACAGGTTGCGGAAGTGTTTAGAAAATCAGCTTCTCAAATTCTGTAATTTATGCACATGCCTATCTAAAAAAGATTTAATTCTACTATTTATATGGATTGAATAATGTGGCAAATGTTTGCTATTTATATCATAAATAAAATAAACTGATAAACTACCTGAATGTTCACTTTGCCAGCGAACCGCAAAAATCTGTGAGAATCAGCTGACGCTGTTTGCAAAAAATACAAAAAAAAAAACAGAAGAAAAATAGATTTCTCGCACCTGGGTTGCACTTATCACAAGTTTCTGTTTGCCCACTCGACGCTTGAATAACTTATGCCGCATAGATTAATTAAAAAGGCAACTCCTAACCACCGATCTCCCACAGATGCGTTTCAATTTCTCCACCCACTCGGCGGCGCCCAACTCAACGGCAACGACAACAACCACAACGCAGGCAGCAAATGGAGGGGATAAGGCTACCCAACCGCTGAAGAAGGCCATCGATGCGGATCCCGATTCGCTGGACAGTGTGATCAGCAATCCGCATTCGTATCCCATCACAATAGTGCCCAATCGGCCGACCAGCTTCTATGGCCTATCCCCAAATGGCAAGGCGTTCCCCCGCCAACCGAGCTGCAGGTGAGTGATGGCTATTCTCAAAGCTATTTACCTGGCCGAAAAGTGTTTTGGTCAATAAGTACCGTTTAGTTAGAGTCGCTCTAATTGATTAGGCAAATTCAGACCACTTTAACATCGGCCTGGGCGGCATCGCGTGGCGAGGAGCTTTAGTCTAGTTCAGCACCGCGAAGTTAGAACGTCTAAAACGAGATGCAGGTGCCGCTCAGCGATGTCCAGGTCCTGCAGGATGCCACCGATGCCGAGACCCTTGTTGGCGGTGGCGACAAGGAGGAGACCTTTGCCCACATGAAGGAGTGGAAGCGCCAGTACATGAGAGGCATCTCGCACACTCCCTCGCAGGCTGGAGTCTACTACGAGGCTTTAAAAGGATCCAGCCATTCGTTGGCCAAAGGGTGCGCATCAGCTAGCTTATAGATCGAGTGTGTTTAGCAGGTCCATCAGTTGGAATGTTCATATTTCTAGTTTGAACGATTCTTTCCAAATCAAGTGAAATCGAAACATTCTGTTACAAGTTGTAAAATATTTACTTAGTTATCTTTTTGATTTAACTTATCAAGTCATGATTTAATTTTTCTTCTCATTTTCACATACTCGTACTAATGTGATTTTTCGTATGTGACTTAGATCGGGCTACTATATTTATACTTCCCAAAGTGTTTTTAGAACTGTTTTCATAAGCAATAAGATTGGATTCCAATTGGCCTAAGCTCCTACTTCCTTTTCAAACCCGGATTTCCCGAATTCCCAACCCATGCCATTCCGATTTGAACACTGTAAATCGGTGGAAACTTTGCGAAAGTCAAAATAGGAGCTTCGGTCAACAATTACCCAATTACTCAAAGTTCCGCTGGCTTTCCGCCCAGTAATTAGCTCGTCAAGGGGCCTGACATTCAACTTGAACTTGCCGACAGACGACGCTCCATCATTGAGGCAACGCGTCCGTGTCACGTTGCCGCATCTTCTTAGGCTTTTTTTGTCTAGCTGATTAGCAGACTGCCGCTTCGCGGTTGTAATTTATATGGCTACGCCCCCGCGGCTCTAGTTTGTTTTACTGGCCGCAGATTGCAGTACAAATGATTTAGGGGCGCGTTGCGATGCAATGCGATTCATTAGGCCAGGCATTCAGTCTTTTTTTCCTTATCCAAATCTTTACGGCCTCTCGTTCTCACACTTGTCACCTGCTAAATGGTTGGCCCAAAGAGATTTCCCATTGGATAAAGCTAAAAACTACTTCTCAGACACTTTCTTCGCAGTTTAGTTAGGCACATTTTTCTATTTTTTTGACTGTTGCGTGGGCTGCTCAATCATGAGTTAAAAAAATGCCGACAAAGCAGCAAATGATTCATCTGGCACAAATTTAGCGAGCTAGCTGAGCTCCAAATTTGATTAGCGGGCATTAATGCAATCGGCACAATGCCAATTAATCGACTTGTGCAAGTGTCAATGTGGGGTTAAGGTAATTGGCATCCGAGAAATGCCGGGTCATGTGGGTGTTGGTATTGTTGCCATCGATCGGTGCATCCAGCTCGACCCTCTTTAAATTCATTGCTGTGACAAGCTGAGGTAATAAATCAAACAATTTGTGGGTGAGCTGTAATTAAGTTCTATAAGCCGGGATGGATCAGATTGTTCTAAAGTCCGCTCTGATTCTGTCCGATTTATCCGCCTTGCGACATTGGCATTCGCGGCTGGCGGCTTTAATTAGATGCACTTCTCGTGTGCCCAGTCCAAAAACGAACTAGTCCAAATGCGCACAGTTAATTTGCACAAATTAAACAACACGATGTCGAGACATCCAATTTCATATGACTCTTGAATAAATCATAGAAATTCATTGCCATTTTTAAGAAGAAGAGAGATGGAAATGTTATAGAGCGTGAGGATAAGGCGTATTAATTATACGAGCTTTAAGTATAAAAGTGATTGTTTCTTATAATTTAGTTTTTAACTTAAAGGCAGTGAAAGCTATTAACGAAAATCCTCGGTTATATTGATAAGAAATTCAAGCTAAATGCTAAATGCAATTTTTACACTGCATACTTTTAGGCATTGGTGACAATCACTTATTTCCTTCCGCAGATCTCGCAATTTCCGGCCTGGCAGCATGAGAAGAATTCGCCGTCGGGCTGTGTTCAAAAATGGTGACTGCAATGTGGTCCAGAAGCACCTCCAGAGACGTCGTGTTCGCTTTCTGCAGGACATGTACACCACGATGGTGGATTGGCAGTGGCGATGGACTCTGTTGGCCTTCGCCCTCAGCTTCATACTGTCTTGGCTCTTCTTTGCGCTCATCTGGTGGCTGATCGTCTACACACACGGAGACTTAGAGGGACCTCATCTACCCGAAAATCAAGGTTTGTTAGATAGTAAGTAGTAGAAAATAAATAATGTTTCCCCTATATTTCAGAGGAATCGAACTGGGCGCCTTGTGTCTCTGCCATTGATGGATTTACCTCCTGTTTTCTGTTCTCCATCGAAACACAGCACACGATTGGCTACGGAGTGCGCACCACCTCACCGGAGTGTCCAGAGGCTATCTTTATGATGTGCTTCCAGTCCATCTACGGCGTGATGTCCTCAGCATTTATGGCTGGAATTGTGTTCGCCAAAATGACGAGGGCCAAGCAGCGGGCACAGACTTTGTTATTCTCCAAGCATGCGGTTATTTGCCAGCGAGATGGTTGCCTTTCCCTAATGTTCCGTGTGGGCGACATGCGAAAGTCTCACATCATTGGAGCCGGAGTTAGGGCTCAGTTAATACGGACAAAGAGCACCAAAGAGGGTGAGGTGATGACGCAGTACTTCACGGAACTGGAGATTGGCACCGATGACTCTGGCTCTGATTTGTTCTTCATCTGGCCCATGGTCATTGAGCACAAGATCGATGAGAACTCACCGCTGTATAATCTGAATGCCACTGATATGCTGCAGGATAAATTCGAAATTGTTGTACTCCTGGAGGGCACTGTGGAGTCCACTGGTCAGAGTACACAAGCCAGATCTAGTTATATTAACACTGAGATTCTTTGGGGCCATCGCTTCGACCCTGTGGTGCTGTACAACAAGGACCTGCAGGCCTATGAGATCGACTATGCCCGCTTCAACGAAACCACTCAGGTGGACACTCCATTGTGCAGTGCCCGGGAGCTAAACGAGATCTACAAGATCCAGGAGGGATTCCGGACACCAGGTAAGATTTGAAGTTTGGAGTCTCCTTTTAAGTTGTATTCTATATTGTGATCTGTCCAGCAGAAACCACCTTCACCATGCGTCAACTGTCCCACAATCATTCCGATCAGGCCTCCTAGGCCCAGATTCCAGTGTTTCGTCCCCGTGTTGCTATAGTTTGTAATTGTTTTTGTCCTATGTGAGTTGATTCATTCATCATTGTTTTGTTTTCAGACCTATATTCCTATAAAATTTGTCCCTTACAGCTTCCCCCTCGATCCAATCGAGGTGCTCCTGCAGTTCCGGCTATCAGACACCTGGAAGGCAAAGCCGCCTGCGCTGGCAGCTCTCGGTGCCCTTGTAGTGCTCCCCAGACTATCCCCACACATACACTCAAAAGTACGAGTTACCCTACGAAAATAAGTTAATAAACGCTTTAGTTTGAGTCTACACCCAAATTGCATGTCCCTGGGTTTCGGGAGTGCATACAAATGACACATAATTGCCCCGCTCGCTGCCAGGTAGCAGTTGCATTGGCGACCAACCCACTCATTAGGCATCATTAATAACCCGGCCATATCAATGCGAGAGGTGCCAAAAAAAAAAAACACAAGCCCAACAACACACAAACTTACAGTTTCTGTTCAGAAAAACAAGTTCGTTGCTGGAGTCTTTTGTTCGTGGGCGATCCCAAAGAAGTGGACTAGGGTGAGTATTCCATATCGAGGGTGCCCAAAAGAGCGGGGCGCTATGGCGCTAGCGAGAAACATTCATATCCTTTTAATTGAAATTGAATCAATAACTCTTATTTGCGCAAACTAATCAACACTAAATTATAACACTCACAGAAAAACAACTTGAATATTTATTATCGCATTTATCACCGCTCCCAGGGTGGATATCTAATGAAATGTGGGTGTGGGTCAGATGCCTGGTATGCCCCAATGCCCGGGCCATAAATACAATGCCAAATTTCAGCAACTCTATTACAACTCACCCGAAAAAAATTAAAGAAAAATATAGCAAAACAAAAAAACCCAAAAAAAAGAGAGAAATAACAAAAAATAAATAGGAACGCAAACGAAATCGAAATGAATGTTGGCTGCCAAAGGCGGGGGCTGTCCCAAGGGGGTGGAGAGCAGAGTGGCTCACTGGTTCAGTGGTGCTGAGTGCTATGCAGCGTCCTTAACCCAGTTATTGGCTTGGTTGCCATAGAGTAGAACCAACGAGCAAACCAACCAGCCAGCTAGGCAGTCAGGCAGTCAGGCAGTCATGTGGGGCGCGCTTTATGTTTAATTACTTGTTAAATGTTTTGTCGCTTTTATCAGCTCACATGCTTAAGAGCCCCATTAGCCGGAGTCGAGCACCCACTACTCCTTGTGACATGCGTCGCTATTGGGCATTTTTTGGGGGGCCTTTTGGACTTTTCGGGGGGATATACGCGAACATAAATGTCGATGGCCGCCTGGCTTTTTGTGTGATTGGCTTCGACGAACGAAACGTGCCGGCTGATCGACAGAATTAAAATATTATTCGCGCATGAACCGTTGCAGGCAACGAGCACCGCATGTGGCACACTATTTTGCGACTTCAACTGCAACTTCGCCTCCGACTGTGGCACGTTTCGAAGACAAAAGGCGCCACCCAAATGGCTGCACACCATACCACTCCACTCCACTCCAGCCACTTGGCCCCGCGGGTCATAATTCCCGCTCCATCCCCTCCCCAACCCGAAAAACGTTTGCCAGTTGTGCCAAACAATTTCTCGTGTAATTTTTAATGTGCTGCACAAACACGCGAACAATGCATGAACGTGGTCCGTTTGTCAGGCTAACCATGTCGAATGCTCCTCCAACTTGACATGGATAGACGTGGACCCATCTGCCAATGGGCACGGAAAACTAGAGCAAGTTTCTTTGATCAATAAGGAAGAATTTTCTTTCATTCCGTAGAACATCCCAATTAGCTTGCAATAAATATTGAAATATCCCCCATAAAATACCCAGCATCACCTCGCAGGCTTCAAAATTTGACAGCCAAGTGGCGACAGTGAGTGCAGCCTAATAAAGACATCAATTGGAAGGATGACTCAGGTGGCCTTTGTGGCCGGAGATCTGGAGGCAGGGAGCTGATAAACGAAGTTGCAAAACAAGCTTAAAATTAACTGCAGCCGGCAGTGTGCGAACAAAACAAAAGGTAGAACATGCTACATAACTCATCCATAATCAACACTGTTTACATAAATTTCAAAAATTATTACACGGCAACGGTGGCCAATGGGGATTCCAACTCCATCATCAGGAGGCTCTGGTTCATTTTCAGACTGAGACTGGGACTGCGACTGGAACTGGACCTGGACCTGAGCAATGGGATCGGGGAGAGCGCGTGATGAATGCTTAAATAATGCGCTTAACCCTGTGCGAACATAATTTATGGTGTGCGGATATGCATGAGTACAGTACAAGTCGGCAGTGAGTACGAATCTTGAGGAATATGCTCGTATATAGGGAGTCGGTCAGGCAGCAACACACGCTGTTTTCATTGTTATTACACGGACGTTGTTTCGCCGTTGACCAATCTGTAAGCCCTCGCCGCTGCCATTTTGGCCAAATTGATTAATTACGGTCATTCGGGGATGCAGCAGCGCTGCATAAGTAGCATAAAATGCCATAAACCGCGGGGCCAGGAGACTCAGAAACCGCTGCCGCCGTCGCCGCCGCCGCCGCAACCCGAAGTCATTTGCCACTAAGGACAAAAGCCGCCCAAAAATATAAAAAAGCGAAATTACTCAGGCGTAGCGAACGTGGCCAACAGAGATCTTCTTTGGGCCAAGTCGCAGCTTGAGCCTTGCCGCTATATGCCGCAATTGATTTAAGTTACCCCGAATGTTCAGAGAGGAGGGCAGAGGACTTTAACAGTATATAAGGTATATACATACATATATATATATGATTGTGAATCGCCTCTGGGCGTGGTGCGCTGCATGTTCTTTTGTAAGTAATAAGCATTTTTATGTCGCAATTGGGCAGGGAGGGGTTAAGGGCAAGCCAACAGTAATTTTTATGTGGCCAACAAAATAAGCGGGGCTCGTTGAGCTTCACTTGCCGCGTCTTGCCTCTTGCCTCTTCCCTCCTAATTAATTGTATTTATTAAATAACATAATAAATTAGCGCTTGCACTTGCTGTTATGCTTGCTCCAATTAAGGAAGTGCCACTCCGAGACGATCAAAATGTCGGCTCTGAAGTCCCCACCAAATTGGCTATCGGGTCAACCGGTTTCAGATGTTTTTTGATTTTTATACGTATAAATTTTTACATTTTTGTTATTTTCCTGCAGTCTGACTTTGTTGATAACGCGCTTTAATTAAAAATCTGCATACATTTTTGGGCAGTTTCAAGTCTCGCTTGTTTTTTTCCTCCCATATCGTATCTGTTTTTTTGGATTTCACGAAGACCCGCCAAAAATATCAAAATCAAAAGCGGCACAGGCTCTTTTATGACAGATCTCACTTTAAAGTTGACGTCCGAACTGTCAGAGAATAACACTTGAAGTCTGCGAAGAGAAGATGCAGTTTTTCCCCGTCCTCGTTCGTTGGCCGTAAATTTATGTTATTTTGGTGGATTTCTGATGTGAAGTGAAGTTAATTTAGCGAGCTTGGACTGGCACAAAAGAAATTTAACAATATGGTTTAAGCTTCTACTTGGCATAAGGTAAGTGTTTACTTGAAAAGGGCAAGGCCTCTCTTCAGAAAAAGATCAACCTTTGTCATCAATTTTGTTACCGTTTTGAAAATTATACATTATTCAAATTGAAGAGGTTTGGGAATTTTTGCATTACCATAACCATATTGTATAAAGTGCACATGCAGTTCCAGTTGATGCTCATCTTTTGCACGCTTATCCTTCATGGTTGCTTTAACGACTTCCAGATAAAAAGCCGTCTTAATTTTTCAAAATTATAACCTTCATGGTTGATTGTTTTCTGACCAGCTTCGACAGCAGTCCAGCGAGTTCAAAGGCCCCAAAATTTTAGCTTGTACTAACTAGGCAGTATAGCTGTGCCGAAATTAAAACCATGAATCACTCCGAAGCATTCATAAAAACAAGAAACATTTATACGAGCAGTCTATTCAAATGACCAACACCCAAATGTGTAATTTTATTTCCCTCCGAACTTCTTTCTGATGGGTTTTTCAACAAACCCTTTCACATTTGCACTTAATAATGTTTTTGGGTTTTGTTTTTTGGGAAAGTCTTACATTTGAGGCATAAGAAAATGATCTCAGATTTGGAACGAGATGGGTCGTGAGGTGATGGGTGGAGATTTGGGCATTTTCAAGATGATTCCATATGCTGTAAACAATTTGCAAATGGCTTGGGCAGCTTTATCTTAATGATGCATAATAAAATTATGGCGGCAATCAGGCGAAATCAATAACAGACCGCAGAGAAAGTAATTATTGGCCGTTCAAGTGGCTCCGACACCCGTCAAATCAGCGGCTTGGCTCTTATCCGATAAGAGAAGTTTGGAGCCTGAAGCTTGGGTTAAGATGCGGCCAAGATGAAAGTCGGGGTGGGGCAGTATTTCCAGACCAGGAGTCCATCTCCTGCTCGTTTGCGCCCATCGTCACTTGATTGAAGGCCCAGAATGCAGAAGCAGGCAACAAATCAACGCTTGGTCTGCTTTTTTTTTCCAAAACTGACCTACAGCAGGAGGAGCAACCAGAGCAGGAGTAGGAGCAAGAGCAAGAGCAAGAGCAGGAGCAGGAAAAGCAGATTGCAGATACCAGTCCGCCATGGCAGAGTTTTATTGATGCAAATTGCATGCCCTGGGCCCTGTAATCATACCATGTCCGAGGGCTGTGTGCGTGCAATTTGAGCGACAAGTCGATCCCTGCAGCCGGGAATCGGAATTGGGTCACATTTGTGTGTTGCATGGAGCTCACTTAACCGCGATGATTGGCCAAATGGCTAGTGGCGGCGCCACCTAGCGCCCGCTGACTGAACCAAGTCACTTGGCGTGATTGACAGCCCCTTTTGGGATTAATGCCCTTGTCTTCCTTGGAGTGATCCTCACAGACCTCTGTCCTTGCCATGTAACGAGCTTTAAATAGCTTCAATTACAGGCAAAGATTACATAATACCCCTTGGATCTTCCCTTCCGTCACAAAAGCAAGTTCCTGCTCCTGTTTTCCCCCTGTTTGAGGCTTTTGAACTTAATACTGGCGGATGGACAGGGCTTGACGAACGACAACGGCACGCCAGGAGGTCATGTCACAAAAATATCCATTAACACATCATAAAAATTAAAAATTAAGAAACCATACGAGCGAGGCAATAAAACCGCAATGCCTGTAAAATAAAATATCTGTACAGTGGAATAAAAACGCCAAGGCATGCCAAGATAATCGCTCGACGAGAAGGAGAAAAGTGAAACCGGTAATTATGCATTATGTATGCACGCCACCAACGCGGCGGCTTAAATTGAAGGAGCTGGGGGTTAGCCAGGATAGCCAGTGATGTGTGCTGTGTGCTGTGTGAGAGCCGGCTTACTGTCTGCCCACGCTAAGTAGGAAACACATTTTTCGCGACGCTTTGGTTTCTTTTTTTTTTTTTGGCAATTCGGCAATTTACGTGCCTTGGCTCGCGACCCGCAAACAAAAGACTTAAGCGACGAACCAGCAGTAACATAAATTTCACTTAATTGCAGAAGGGAAAAATAAAAAAAAGTGAAGCCAAAAACCAGAATGCATTCAATCGATAAACAGAGTGCAGCGAATAAATGAGCTCGGCACGCCGGGTAAATGCTTAATGCCCATAGCAGACTCGGATGGATGGAAAATATGCAAAGCACATAAAATTAAGTAAAACAAAAGCTGGCCAGAACATTTATCTCCACTTCGATTGCGCTTCCATTGAAATGGAGCATGTGGAGCAGTTCAACGTCTTCCGCCTGAAGATCGCCGCTTGCAAATTTGTCGCAAGATCAGCCGGCCACTTCCCAGTAGCAGTTGCTCATTTTCATTGTGCCGAGGCTTATTTCTCACTCGCAGGCAATGACAGTGAATATTTGTACAGTGAGAGAAATTGCTATTACTCATAATTCCTATCTTATTGGAGTATCAATCAGTAGTTTTATTGAGCTGAACATGGCATTGCTTTACGAACCTCGTAAGGAGGAACTGTTAACTTTTATGAAAAGATAATTTAAAGGGCGTTGATTGTGATCTTATTAATATAATAAAAACTTTTTACATTTAATAACTTCTTCTCTATGTTATTAGTTAGTTAGTTTTCTTTCTTAGGAATCCTTTCCTTGGCCATATCAGAGTTAAGCTTACTTTCAAACCACCACAACTTTTCCCCAAGTGCACATTCGCACTCGTAACTTTTTGCGTTGCTTTTTGGCCACTTTTTTTTTGTTCCCCCTGCAAGTGTTAAAGTCAACAATCGTGAGAAAAGAATTTTATTGTTGTTTAGCCTGTCTGAGTGTGTATGTGTGTGGTGGGGCTGCACTTTTTTCGTGCCTTTTCTGTCTTTTTGTTTATTTTCATTTTACGGATACTGAAGGTCACTCTGCTTTATGCCTTGATTGCCAACTGTGGTCTGGGGGTCTCAAGTTGAATTCTGTTTTTCGTATCTTTTTGGCCTTTTTTCGGCTGCATATGATGTCTGCCTGCCAGCCAGCCAGCCAGCCAGGCAAGCAGCTAGCCAACCAGCCAGCCAGCCTTTTGCCTTTGCTGGAGTTCGCTTTTTCTTCTGGCTGCCCCCTTTTGCAGCGCTCATGTTAAATTGTCCGTTTCATGTTTCTGCTTAAATGTCAGTTGTAATTTGTTGTATTAACCCATACCACATGAATTATGTTTAGTTCGAATGTAATTGATTTGAATGCAATTTGAATGGCAACAACACAACCGACAACCAGCAACAACAATGGCAGCAGTACGAGTATTAAGTATTAACAATAACACAGCCACAGGAGCGTCGTCGGCAAGGCAAATTGAAAATTGCCCTCAACTCTGGCCGAGATTAAATGGAATTATGCAAAAGAGCTGCCTGCCGCCTGGGAACGGTCTGCGGCGATCCGAACACGATCTCAATGAGAACTTCATCAAGAACTGGGTGCAGCTGGGATGAAGTGGTGAGGTGTTGCCTTGGCTAACAATGTTATCGATACATTTCGGTATTAACTCAGATATCCCATCACGACCTCCTAAGAACACAAAACCAAAAATAATATCAAATTTTTTGGGGCTGTTGGTTAAGTTTGTTGTTACTAGGAATTGTTAAGAGTTCTTCTAAAACATAGCATGCCTAGAAATTAACTTTCATCGAGCTGAAAACTTTTTAGAGGAAATTTCCTATTAGCAAAAAGAGCGTCCCCCACATGAGTATCCCTATATTTTGTGTTCCAAAAAACTGTCTAGTAAAATAATCGAGAAATAAGTACCCGAGCAGCTAGTACGCGAACTCCATGGTCGCTAATCTGTGCATATTCTGTTTAGATGAGCAGAAGTTTCCACACCGGATATCCTGCGGTCATTCCTTCTGCGCGGAGTGCTTCGAGAAATTCTTGGAGTTGAGTCGGGATTCGCGATGTCCACTATGTAGACGTGACTTCCATCCTCCTCCTCCTCCGCCTGAAGATTTTGAAGAAGATCCGGAGCTTATAGTACCGCGTCGTGAACTTGAAATGGACACGCTGGCGCTGACCCTTACCGAACAGGAGTGCCGCTTCTTCGAGCAGCTCTTCCGGGAGGTCCAACTGACAAGAGGTGGGCAATAGATGGAGAAGGAAGACCCCGCCAAGGATCTGTGATTCATATTTTATTTATATTTTAAGATATATTTATGATTTGTCTACGCTAAAAATCTTTCTGATTTTTCTTGCAAAGTGTTATGGCTCAGATGACTTGAATGCCGGTGGCCACTTTTGTCTATCAGTGAAAGAGTCACGGTCAGGCGGGAAAGCCTGCCTGGAAAGCCACATGTTTAGAACTTAAAATAAAGTAAAGTTGACTACAAATTTAACTTATTTATTTTGCAATTTATAGAAAAATCTTAACAGAAAAGAACATTGAGAGAAGTGAGAAAACCCTTGAGGAACACCAAAGCTATTCCAAAGCTAAAATTCAGACAAGTATCCCAGGCAGATCGATGGGTAAGTCAAGTGCTTAACCAGGCCAAAAGCATTGCCATGTTCTTGGCTATCGCCCATCTGTGCACCACCGTCGACTGCTCATCCATCTGCGAGTGCTAAAGCCGCTCCATCGATCAGCATTTGTATCTGCTCGTGCAGGCGCAACTTAATTAGACGCTTAGACTGGCTAATTGCCGTTGAGTTGGGGCTGATAAATTGATAAGCCGGGCCGCAGATGACCAGCTAACGATGGCCATTAGCCGAAGTGACAGCGGCAGTCGAAGCAGCAGCCAAACGGGCGGCTGAAAAATGGTGCAAAAATGTTTATTAAATGTCCATGCCTGACCGTCGGTCAGTGGAGCAGCAGCAGCCGCAGCAGCAGCAGCAGCAGCAGGCCTAGCCCACCACCAACTTCCCAACTTGCCAACTTCTCCAACTTTTTCAGCATTTGCAACATTTGTTGCATTTGTTTGTTTGCCGTTGTCTTTTTTGGCGCTTTATCGCACGAATCATTTCTGGCTGGCCATTTTGACAGCGTTTTGAGTCAACAACATGGCGCATGCAGCAGATACAAATCTAAGCGGCACATTATGCAACGGCCGGGCGATCGTGCAAATGCTAAGAGCCAAAAACTATCTCATGGATTTGCGCAATTTGTCATCCTGGAATCGGAATCTGAATTTCGTATCATGGTCAGAAGTGGGGAGGTGGTGGCAGAGTAGATTGCGATTTTTTCTGGGAGTGCGTGTGTGCGGGCGTGGCAGCACAGTTTTATTGATAAGACTTGCCAGGCAGCTTCGATATATATTGCATTTAGTTGGCCAATTATTAATGCCCCTTGTCGCCGGGCTGCGTGTAATTTGTGGCAGTGGTTGCCGAGCTGCTGAACTGCAGTCACTGAAATGCGATACACACCGCCGATTGCTCATTTATGAATGTCCAACGATGGCCGCGATGTGCGATCGTCAATCTTCGAACTTAGCCACGCTTACATGTGATTTAACAAGCTAACAAGCTGTGGCTTTATCGCCGATTAGCTGCTCTCGATAGTATGGCCAGGCGTAGCAATGGTAGCTTTGGTAGCCAGATATGGGTTTCGGATATGGTTAGTAACTCTCCTAGGCCAGGGTTTATTGAACTTCTATCGGCTTTCAACAGATCAACAGAGCCGCTTGCAGCAGCAGCAGCAGGCAACGTGCCACATTTTTAGCATTTTTATTATCGCAAGTCATTTGTCAAATTGCTAAACTGACATTAAAGCCGCCTTTCCTGTGGGCTGATAAACCAATTTGACATTTTAGCCAGTTGCGATGATCGATGGCTCGCCGAGATTCCCCTCGATCCACCCAAAATCAACTGGGAGTGCAGCCGAAGGCAGGCTGGTGACATTTTTGCGCCAATTTCGGTCGCTGGGCCATCAGTTAAGAGCTCAGCCATCAGCCATCAGACCTCAGACCCTCAATTCGCATTTTTCGCTTTCAGTTTTGCAGCTTTTCGCCTCGTTTTTTTCGGGGGAAGTCTTTGTTTTGTTTGGAGTTTGCCGTTTGCATGCGTGGGAGTTGCACGAATTGTGTCGTTAAATAATGCTCCATGTTTGTCCTGCACGAGACCCGCGAAACACACAAAACGAAACGAAACCAAACCAAGTCAAACAAAACGGTGTGCACTGAGGGAAAATGGGCAAGATCAAACAATGAGGAAATCAAGTTCCGGGTTAAAACACTCTATAAACTTCAGAAGCTATATAATATTCCATTCCACAAGGCAGTAAACTTACATATTCCTGTAAAAAAGTAAAGACTTCGTGAATCGCCCAATAAAACACCAAACTATTACAAACTCATAAAAATAATCATTAAATAATAATAAAAGATTAAAGAATGTAAAGTATCTTCTTTAATTAAAAACCGCTCATAACTTTTTGTGGCACCTGTTTCTTAATTTCTTTGAAATCAATTTCGGAATAATAACCAATTTATGTTAACCAGCCATAAAAACAGTTGTTTAGCATTCATTTTTGCAGTGCCGACAAACAAACTGAAACGAAACTGGTTGGCCGAGAGCGCGGAAGCGCTGCTCAAATGGCAACTGGAGCAGCGTTTTGGGTGGCCGGACGGATCGGGTCCAAGACTGTGGTCTTTTTGGCCTGTGTCCCTCATCCCCCCCAGTCACCAGTTCCCATTCGCCCAGTCTGGGAGTCCTACTCAACATAGTACCTGGCAGCCGTGCCGGCCTTGCATTTGATGTCGATGCTGCTGCTGCCGCGCCGCTTTGTTTAATTGATAGACGACGATGACTGCGACGACCCACGCGGCGGCGACGGCTGCGGCGGATCTCTGCTGTTGGTGTCTTGGCTTCCAGGCCAGGAGGAGCGAAACCGGCGGCACGCGATGTCTTGAATACCTTGGCTCTTTGGCGGCCGACCGCCAGTGGCTGGCAACCCATCGAACTCAAACTGTGCGCATGAGCATGCAACAGAATGCGACGTCGCATTCGCGGCGTTGACAGATTGATGCCCCCTAACTCAGTTAAGGCCCCCGCTTCATTATTCAAATTACTTGTGTGTTTGTGCGGAATTTATCAAAGTCCTCCCGCAGCCAAAGATGTTGGCAAGGAAAACTTACACAAAAAAAAAAAAAAAAAAAAAAAAAAAACTAGGGAAAAAAGAAGGTTAGGGTTAGCATGTGGGCCAGTTTATTTTGTGTTCGCGTGGGCGTCAAATGCTGTTTTCCTCTGCTCGAAATAAAACTATTTGCAGGTCAGTTAAGATAAGTTCCATCGTGTGTTCCTGGTCAAACTTTCCTTTTGGCTAAGGGCAGCTCTCAAACAAAAGTGGAACGCCAAATGTATTTGTAACTGCAAACTCTGACTGTGACTCTGACTATGACTCTGACTGAAACTGGGTGCGGCATAAATTCTCATAAATCTATGGACCAAAAATCAGCCATATGTACATATGTAGATAGCTATATATACATATGATGGCTGGAGTAATTAAAGCAGTTTAACATGTCTGTGAGTTTGGCCAGTTTTTGGAGCTGTCACAACATCAACAAGCCTTCATTCATGCTCTGCGACAGCCACAAGCCAGCCAGTTAGCAGAGGTCCGTCATTCAGTCAGTATGGCAGTCTGTCAGTCAGTCAGTCAGGCAGTCATTCAGGCGACCAGTCATTCAGTCAGCCAAAAAGCCAAAAAACTTGCCATAAATCAACTCATTTGAAATGCATCAAAGGCAGCAATCAGAAACAGAAACAGTAACAGTTACAGACACAGAAACTGCCCAAAAGAAAAACGCAGTCAGTTGCACAAATATTTTTACACGTACCAACGATTTCCAATTGAAATCGAACATTCAACGGAAAGTGACAATGCGCGGGCGGGGCAACAACAACACTGTCCAATATAAAATTAAACCCAAAAAAAAAAACCCCCGTTCAACTGTCGTTGCCCATTCGTGTTGCACAATGTGTGAAAACAGGATCATAGTCCTGCCTAAACATTTGTCAACCCAGCGGCGCTTATATAATCAACAATGCAGATTTCAGATTCAGATTTCTATTTTTCAACTCTTTTACCAATTAAACAGTTTGTCTGGTAGCTGGCAACAAGCATCAATCAAATGGTTTTTGGTTTTTGGTTAGACTTCGACGACGACGACTACTGTTCGCCCTCGGAATGCAGATTGTCCGTTTGGCTTATGACAGGCTTCTGGTTTTGGGGCGTGGCCATTATTAGCATCGCCGGTCAGTGCTTAATTGATTCGGTTGTTGGCCATGTTAATTGACAGCACGCACGGATGTAACATTGCGATAGTCGTTGGCACAGGCCTGACACAGGCCCAGTTTGTTTTGGCCAGTCAGTCAGTCAGTCGACTTCAGTCAGTTGTCAGTCAGCTGGCTAGGCAGTGGCTTATAAGACTTGGTCCATACAATGTCTCACTGTTGAGCAAAATTTCACTTATCAAGAGCGAAACAATTAACGGCGGCTGCACGAGTCTTATATAAATATATTTAATGTCAGGATGTCTGGAGCCCTGGGATTCGTGAGCGCCCTGACCCACATGCAATTGGCAACTGCCAGCAATTTGCCACCTAAACGAGAATTATGATCGCCAGCATTTTCCGGGCCAGATAAGGCGGCACACAACTTATGCTCAAATGTGCCTGTCACTGTATCTGAGTCCCAGTTCGAATCCAAATCCAAATCCAAACTTCCCACCAGGCGGGAATCTCAATGGAAAAGTCAACAACAGCCAGCAGAGCGGTTTCGTTATAATTTCTATTATTTTCCCTTTTGGCATAATTGCAGACAATTTACTTAACGATCAATAGCGTCAAACGGCAGGCTGGCTGCCTGGATGGCTGCCTGGCTGGCTGGCAGGCAGTGAGCCGACAACAGACATCGGGAAATTTATTAGCTCCCGCAGCTTCAGCTTTAGCTATAGCCATAGCTTTGGATCTTGGCCATGTGTTGGCCTTTTGGCAACACAAACACACACACACACAGATAACTAAATATATACCCACTCTAAACTATATCCGCGTGAGAGCCGATCTTCGTGCCCGGTTTTCTATCCTTGAGCCTCGGCTAATGCGACTGGCATTTTTCTTGGCTAACTGTGTGTCAGTGTATGTGTGTTGGTGTGTGTGTGTTACCATAAAACATTTATTTAAAATGGAGCAGAGCAGCAGCTTTTCTCCACCGCCAGGTTTGTTTGCCATGTTTGGGCCAACAGATGATCGGTGTTCATATTTTAATTACGCGGCTTTATCACGTCATTGCAGGGTGGCTTGCTCCC